AGACAAGTGGAAAGCAACAAAATATTTAAAGGGATGGTGAAAAGGTTACTAATTGAGAGGGCTTATTATAACTGTACTGAGTTTGATTGATTGATTGATTGATTTATTTTTATTTTTATTTTCATGATTTGACTTTTGTAATTTGTGCTTATTGTTTTATTCCTGTAGCGCATGTATAATGTATATATATATTTTTCCTACGAGCGTGCGCAAAGTAGTACTTTTCCGCACGCATTTCCGGGCTCAAAGTTACACTTTTCCGCACTCAGTGCGGATACAGGCCTTATCCGCACTGAGTGCCGAAAAGTAATTATAATTGTCAAGCAACAATAAGTGCACCTGTCGACTTTGACACATGATGACAAATTTTTCCTCTATTTCTATATCAGCCAACATCTATACAAACACCAATTATAAATTAACTTTAACACATCAGATTTGTTCTCTATTTATATGCAAAAATCTACAAACTTTCTCATCAAATTTAAACGCTTTAAGATGAACAGCTCTGACGAGGATTTTCTGTTATTTTTTTTTGTTATGTAATTTTTTGATAAATGCATAGGTTCCCTTCAAGTTAATTAAAAATAATTAAACAAATTATCGGTTTTTTTTTCAAATTTTTGTTATTACCTACCTGATATGAAGCTCGTAGGAAAAATTTTGTTCCTAACACGTGCGCAAAGTGTCTTTTCCGCACGCAAACACGTATCCGAACTCCGCTTCGCGTCGTTCGTATAACTGTGTTTGCGTGCGGAAAAGTAACACTTTGCGCACTTGTTAGGAAAATAACTATTTTACCGTCATTTTAATTTAATTTGTGTGACATAATTATGTGAGTGATAGGTAGTTGACGTCCGTGACTACTTCTAAGTTTTATTTTTATTTTTTGTTTGTTTTTGCCTCAGTTTTTACAATTCTTTGTGTTGGTTTCGATTGTTGTGGATCATTTTTTGAAATTTTTATCCTTTTTATGATAGATAGATAATAGATAATTTTAATTGTTTTATTAGGTTTAAGGCCTGCTTTGTCTATGACATTATTTGTTTTTTTGGCAATAAAGCTTATTTGATTTGATTTGATTTGATTTAAACATTGAAATGGGTGTTATTCTGCAACACTGAGGTCAAATTCAAAAAATAGGACAGCAAAATGTACAGATTAAACAGCCCTTTAAAATGATCTATCACTCGACCCCCTGTCTCATTTGAAAATTTTGCGGTAGTAGCCCTAGGGCTTAGGGGGTTGAAGGGGCGGAGTCCACTTTCACGTAAAAAACCTTCCCCCGCAATAAATTTGTTGACGTGTTTCGGCGATTTCCACGAATATGCCTCTCTACGCAGATAACGTGAATGTCAAGTTTTGAAATGAAAGCCCTGTAAACACTTGGAATGCTGCAGACAAAAATGTCATCCAGCAGAACCTCAAACATACATTATGCCAGAAACATATTTATTGTGTAAGACCGCCTAGAACTTATAACTGCCTACAGCATGGCTCAAAAACATCAACCAGTAGTCAGTAGATACAGGAGACAAATTTCACTGTCAACTGGTTGGTTGAAATTTCAATATACCTCTAGGGGTCGCAACCGTACTGTCAAATACCTATCAAAGTTACGAGAATTTTTCTGAATTGAAGTTCAAGTTCCCCCCACCACTTTCTTTCACATCGGACAAAAATTTGTTACTGAACTTTTTTATTCAGAAATCGAAGAATGACGATATTTATTACCTATACTATATCCATGGAACCAAAAAAGCGGGCCAAAACACTTTCCGTGCGTGATCGAAGCATGATCGGCACGTGGCTTTGCATCTATTGGGCTAAAATAAACAAACCCCTCACGCTGGCCAATCGGATTTACCTGCAATCTGTAGGGGACTTCCAAGGTAGGGGAACTTATTGCTTTTGGCCTAATCGTTACAGGGTCGGAGTCGGAATGGTCATTTACGTTTTATGGATCGGTGGTGTTACATTTTACCGGATATTTAGTAGTGATTTTTTTTATTAGTTTTAAAGTTTTAAATTATTAAAATGTCGGATGAAGAAGCTGCTAATATGTGTTTCAACACTCCACCTCAAAAGAGACCAAAAAAAGTGCCTTTCAATAGTAATGAAAAAAATTTAATTATGAACATTTACAAAAATGAAGTCGAAGCAAATCCCGAATTGTTAGTTGATGAAATCGTGCGAAAAGTAGGAAACATTGCTGGAGTGTCTCCAAGTGGTGTTTATGCCGTTATGAGAGAATCTAAACAAAAGCAATTATTTTCGGATTCAAAGCCATACCCCTTACGAAAGAAAATTATTGACAAGGTAGACGATTTTGATAAAAACGCTATCAGAAGGAAAGTACATCAATTTTTTTTCCGGAACCAAATGCCAACAATAGATTCAATTCTCAAAGATGTAAATGATGATCCTGATCTACCAGATTTCAAAAGGTCGACATTCCACAAGTTGTTGAAAGAATTAAGTTTTAAATTTAAAAAAAGAGGGAGAAATAGTTTGTTGCTCGAGAAACCAGAAATTGTATTGTGGAGACGAGATTATTTAACGAAAATACGGGCCTATAGAAGAGAAAATAGGAAAATTTACTACCTGGATGAAACGTGGGTGAACGCAGGCCACACTAAGTCTAAAATTTGGGTTGATGAATCCGTAGGTTCTTCAAGGCAAGCCTTCTTAGATGGCCTCTCAACTGGGTTAAAGAACCCATCAGGTAAGACCTTATTAAACTCTTAACCTTAACGTGTGTGTCTGTGAACAAGATAATTTGCATTTGGATTAGGTATTGATTTAAAATTTGGTATAGTCTATTTCATTGCTGTTGATAGCAAAAATCGAGGATTAGGGCCATAAAGTAATTGTATTCTACTTGGTTTACAATAACTTTATGGCCTAAACCTCGATTTGTAGGTACCAATACCTATTAGTAAGCGATGGTCAAAAAGGGTCTAAAATTACTTGTTAGCTATGAAAAATAGATCCACAGTATGTATCTACCTGTGTATTTTCCAAGAAAGTTTATTATTAATTATTTTCTGTATTCATTAAAATCGTAGAGAATTGGAAGGGTTTCATCTTACCGTTCGATCAATTAGTTAAAATTCAGGTAACAACGAAAATGTGTTGGTATAGTATGAAATTTTAAGTATGTGTTTGGTAACTGGTTTCCGATTATTTGTGTTTGGTTGGACACGATTAAATCAAAAAAATTTTTTGTCTGCCTCGCAGCACATTTTATTCAGGAAATAGTCCAAAAAATATGTTTTATGCATGTAAATATTCTGTTTCAACTAAAACAAAATAAATCTTGTTTCAGGAAAAGGAAAAAGGTTGATAGTGTGTCACATAGGAAGCGAAACCGGGTTTGTACCCGACGCCTTGTGGGCCTTTGAGTCGAAGAAAACGGGCGACTATCATGAGGAAATGGACGGCAAATCGTTTGAAAATTGGTTTACCAACATAATTCCAAACCTAGAAGAAAATTGTGTAATTGTTTTAGACAACGCCCCATACCATTCAAGAAAAGCTGAACAAATTCCAACTACAGCCACAAAAAAAGCCCTAATTCAAGACTGGTTGCGTTCGAAAAGTATACCATTCGAGGATAGCATGATAAAAGTACAACTTTTGCAGAAAGTGAAGGAACATAAAACCAAATATAATAAATATATAGTCGACGAAATTTCTAAAGCACATAATAGAGTAGTATTACGTCTTCCCTCTTATCACTGCGAGCTCAACCCAACAGAGCTTATTTGGGCGGACATAAAAAACTATGTTGCAAACAAAAATGTTACTTTTAAATTTTGCGATCTTAAAAATATTTTCAGTGAAGCTGTTTTGTCTATCACTGCTGAAAAATGGAATTATTGCGTAGGACATGTAAAAGATAAGGTAGAAGTGAAAATGTTAGAATTAGATCACATAGTTGATGAATTAGTTCATAGAAATCCGATAATAATTAATCCTAATGAATCTTCTAGCAGTTCTTCGGATTCTGAGTAGTTGGACTAAAATGACAAAAGTATTTATTATTTTATCATTATTTTTTATTATTTTTGCGCTAGTATTAAATAAACATAATTTTAAAATCGAAAACTGTTAACCCGTTTGTCAATTGTCCTCCTAAAATAGAAATGTCCCCATTTTTTTGTACTTCATTAAATGTTATATGTATATACAAAATGGTTTTTGTTTTTCTTTATTAGTTAACCTTTGAGTAATTTTTCCATACCTAGTCGCATATTAGGTATTTAATAAAATTTGATAAAATTTCGATGGTCCCTAAGTGCGAGTGCGACTCTGTACAAGCACATCTGCCCAGGCCTCGCCTGAGTGATCACGTGCACTATGCATGACAATGTTTTGGTGCACTCCGTAGCTTCGTTGGATTTAGTATAAGTAAGGGGTGTTTGTTTATAACTGGAACACTCAGTAACTTTCTCATTATTGAAAGTAAAGGCATGTTTAAGTTGGAAATTTTCTTGGTAAATTGCAACATTAAGCGCAACAACATTTTTGTGTCGTCAAGGTATACAGAGTGCTAAGTAATTAGTTGCCATGCACCCACCCCTTAATTTCTTTTTTGGTGCAACAACCCTTCCACATCCTTGTTAGCTGCTTCTCTGTCTGGCAAAAGTGAGGCAAAACATTTCACCTTTTGTTATACCTAATTTGTAGTTAGTTTGTTAAAAGAACTCTATGCCAGGAGCAGTAATCTAGGAACAAGTACACATACTATGAGGCATAATACTATTGACACAGAAATTAAAAATAGCTGGAGTTATATCGACACTAGTAAAAGGGTAAAGTTCGAGGTAAATTTCAAACAAAAATATTCCAAATTTATTCATACTTATAGTATTTATTGTTTGTTATTTTGTCTGTAAAAGTTACTATCCAAGGCCTTGGTGCCAGTATTCTTTGTATACTGATTTGAGGTCCGAAATAAATGATTATAAAAAAAAAAAATGTTTGTTGTAGCTTACCAAGTGCACCGACAATAAACTCCTTTCCATTTCTGTGAAGGCCGATTCTCAGCCTTCTGAAAAACTCTTTCAAAGCTCTTTCTTCCCACCATTTAGAATATAAGCAAATCATTTGCTGACCTCTTCTCACTCTTTGTGCAAATACAAATTCAAATTGGCGAGCCCACACTTTCAAAGTGTTTTCTGGGCTTGACTTTGAGAATAGCAGTCTGTACATTCGTGCTTTATCGAAAAGCTGCTCAAGCTTACCCCTAATTGCCTTTAGGTTCCTTACTTTTTCCCATTCAGAGAAAGGTCTTTTCATGATAAGTCTATATTTAGATAAGATATTTTCACTGTGTATTCCTTCGGAAATCAAATTTCTTAGGTTATGTTGGTTCGGGGCTAAATTATGAGATATCCTTCGGCTGGCGTACATAATGAGTCGTATTTTGTATACTGAGTTAAAAATTGTTGAAGTGATTTAAATGAGATGAATTTGAAATGGAAATTGGGTACAAATAAATTTACTAAATAAACATGTCTATTTTGGAACTGAAATTTTGACATTTCATTTTTTTATTTTTATCCGAGATGACAAGTAGGTTGATGCACTGAGGCAACCAGTGGCGTATCAACCCAGCTCCGGGCCTGTGTGCCAAAATCTCCGCGGGCCCATTACAGGTCCTCCTTTTGAGTGCCACGCCAAAATTTTGACCCAAAGTCGTTCAAAAAACACTCCTAATTTTTTTTTAGGTATATTTTTCCTTAAACGTTTAATTGTGAATTCATTATTTTCGAAATTGGTATGAATAACTATGTATAGAATTTTTAATCCGACTTGAAACACTTGTCTAGTCGGCATACATCAAACAAAAAAAGGGCATGGCCATGGGTGTCACATAAATTTTATTTCTTTAAATGGTGATAATCAATATCAAACAACACAACTAAATAATACGTGGAATAAAATAGCAAATAATATATAAATTGGGATGACACTGGTTATAGAAATCACGTAGTCTAGTAAAGAGTTGCACCTACATCATTCCCGCGGGAAGACATAAGTTGTCCACCCCAATAATTAAACCTATAGGCACGTTCCGACTTAAATTATTAATTTGGGCTACTATAGCGATATTTCGTCGCTGCTTATATTTTATACCGGGTGATTGTCTATATTTTGCACCCATACCTATCTCACCTGCTTGAAGAGATACCCAGAAATGTCAAATGTTAAACTTCTAGGTAATATCAGAAACTTTGCAATTAAGGTAGTTACAAGTACCTATACAGGGTGTATCACAAAAGTGTGGCGAGGCAAAGTTATACTTTTTTAAATGGAACACCCCGTATATTATTGACCTATCGAATTAGCCTTTCGAACCTGATTCTAAATACACTAGGTTTTTAAGGTTTATTCCTCATAGTCCAGCCTCTGAATTTCCCATTTTGAAGAAACAATATGGATTTTTAATTGAATGATTACCTACCTTTATATTCTGCATTTTGCTGGTGGTCTCTATACTTCACCTTTTTCAATAAAAATGCAATTTTTTCGCCCCTTTTTTCTTATTTTCTCCCGGACTATTAGGAAAAAACCTAAAAAACGTAGTATATTTGGAATCAGGTTTGAAAACCTAATCCAATGGGTCAATAATAAATGGGTGTGTTCCATTTAAAAAAGTTCAACTTTGCTTTGCCACACTTTTGTGACTGTACATACTTGTAACTAACTTCATTGAAAACTTTCTAATTTCTGATATCACCTACAACTTTCACATTTGACATTTCTGGGTATCTCTTTAAACAGGTGAGATAGGTGTGTGGGCGCAAAATATAGACAATCACCCGGTACATACAGGAGGGAAACTTACAATAGATTTTCTATTACATTAATAGAAGAAGAGCGACGTGATGTTGAAACATCCTTGTATAATGCAGTGTTTCAAGTCAGAATAAAAATACTATACCGCTGCCGGTATTTTTTTGCGCGTAGATAGACTATTGCCTATACATTAATCATTATTATACAAGCAAAAAAATTAAAAAATAATTAATAATTTTAGGTCTTTTATCTTTTGAATTTTTTTTTTGCGGTTTCTATGTGGAGCTCACGGGCCCCTGTGACCGGAATCATCAGCTGATTGAAACAGGTAAGGCACCGGATACACCGGGAATTTTTGTCGGTTTTTTCGATTGGAGATTGTTTGACATATTTTTTTTGACGTACCATCGTCACCAAAAGTAACTGGGACAGCATCACATTAGCTCTTGTCCTATTATATGAATTTTATTGTCAAATATTTGTCAAATTATGAATTAAATGCATTGAAATGAATGACAGTAGAATTAGTCCAGGAGTTTATTATGCATTATTTGTGTCCCAGATACTTTTGGTGACGATGGTACATCACTTGCTTTGAATGGGCCATTAAAATGGGCACTATCGGCAGTCGTTCGTTAAATTTTTGCAACACAACCGTCACAACCAAACTTTAACACACCAAAGCGTTCCAAAATGCATCAGAAAAATCATGTAACCGGACTTTTGCCGGAATTTTTTGACAGCTACCAATTTATTAAACCGGTCAATTTATCGGTGAAATTTGGGAAGTGTCCAGAGTAAACTAATAAACCGGTATCGCACCGGTTCAGAAACCGATGAATTTTGGAAAGTGACCGATCTCTGGCCAGTGACCAGTAAGTTTTTTTGGTAACAGGTAGGTATGTCATTGGTGGCGTTCATCGGGACGTAGAGTACTTACAACGTAACGCCCATCAATTTTTTGATGAACGTCTGGAGTGCCTTCGAAAAAGGGTTAAATTTTACCCAAGGGTCAGAACAAGGAGAATACACATTCTAAGGAGTGCTTATCTGCGTCGTTTTGGGTATTCTACACATTACTAAGGATTGCTTATCGGCCTCATTTTTGGTAATCGCCGCCATATTGGTTGTGTTACCATTGCGACGTCATTGACAAGTCGTCAGCTGTTTGCACTAGAGGTCGTAGTTCAGAATTTAAATTTATGATTAAAATATTATTTAATTTCAATTATCAATAGGCAAAGAAGAAGATAAACACGAGATCTAAAAAAGAGTTGTTTTAGAATGTCAATTATTGTAGTGAAACCAAGTCAAGTATACATAAGGCAAAAGCCCGCGGAATCATAACCTGTAATCCAAGCAGCCTACGTCCAGGCGAGAAAGGACATGCTGCCTACGTCACAACCGGTGATTTGGATGGGCTGGAGGGATTTGTTCCACACAGGCCTTATGAGGATACGCTATCCTTTAGTAGTAGTGTGTATTATCCTTGGATGAAAGCAAATATTTTTGCCCGTGTTCTTGCGTTTCCACTGCGTTTCTAAATTCAACTTGACTGTCAGTGTCAAGTCACTTCTTTGTTTTCGGGTCGGTTTCTCAATAGTTGTTATCCTTTCAAGAGTTTAGAACACTAGAGTTACTCGCTCCAATGTTAGTCGCCTCGATTTGAAAGGAACAGATGCGCTAGCTTTCGTGCATGGTTTAGTTCGGGCTTGTCTACTCAGGTGCAACAAACACTTTTCGAAAGGAATAAGCGCGTAACACCCCGGAGCTGTTCCGCAGCTCTTCATAGGTGTGAAAGGAATACAAAATACAACTATTGCGAGTCACCTCCGCTCCGAGCGAGGATAATACATACTCTGAGGATTTCTTATCGACCTCGTTTTTGGTAATCGCGGTAATATGGTGTAGCACCATTTCCAACGTCATTAACTAAATCGTCAGCTGTTTGCGCCAGCGGTCGTAGTTTCGAATTTAAATTTTTTATAATGAAAAATATTACATTAATTTTGGTTAAGAGAATAGGCAAAGAGGAAGATGCAAACGAGATCTAAAAAAGAGTTGCTTTAGAGAATGTTATTTAATGTAGTAAAGCCACCAGTTTGTAAAACCAAGTAGGTATGCATAAAGCAAAAGCCCCCGGAATCATAACCTGTGTTGCAATCACCCCAAGCAAATACCCTACGTCAAAAGGAGAAACGACTCGCTGCCACGTCAACACTGGCGGTTTGGCATGGTGGTCGGTGGAGGGCTTTTGAACTACCCAGGTCTAAGGGTGGGTATTATAAAACTACTGTGAGAGTTAACTTGAAGTTAACTTCTGGAATTACATGTAATTCAAAAAGTTAACTTTAAGTTAACTGTCAAAGCAGTTTTATAATACCCGCCCTTATAATGATAAGCTATACTGCCTGTAGTAATAGTGGGTATTATCCTTGACCTCCGGGTTGGTTTTAATTCCAGGGTAAACGTGTTCGCTATTTGAGAAACAAACCATCTCTGAAGCCTAGTACCTACTCATAACTGCGAAATTTGCTCTTTTTTGATATTGCGTCGCGAGTCGCCCCCGGTTAAGTATAAACTCTCTATGGTAAACATTGCAACTGGACACGTTTACCCTGGAGTTAAAACCAATCCGGTGGTGACTCAAGGAGAATTCACACTCTAAGGGAGTGCTTAACGGCCTCTTTTTTGGTAATCGCCGCCATATTGGTGTGATACCATTTCAGACGTCATGACTAAGTCGTTTCAACAGCCTACGTGAAGGCGAGAAATCACAAGCTGCCTACGTCGCAACTGGCATTTGAGCGGGGTAGGGGGGAGGGGGGGAAGGGCGGTGAGAAACCGACCCTTAGGATCGGTTTCACAGGCCATGAGGATAGGCCAAGAACACTTCACCTAATAGGACTGCTTAATTGAGCTCAAAATGTCTGCCATTTCAGCCGCAGACCTCAACTCTTGGCGTGAAATGCATTAGCCGAGTTTAAAACTGTATAGGTCAAAAATCGAATTTCTAAAGGTTATAATCTTGTCAAAATATTAAAATCACCTTTTCTAAATTTAAAATCGACGAAAAAAAAAAAAAAAGCACAACCTGAATCGCATGCATCCCATGAAGGCCTGCGGGCGACGTTACCACTATAGGCTGATATACTGCTAATAGTTTGACGTCATACGCAGGCCCTGCCGACTCGAGAATTGGCGAACGTACGCCTTATGAGTATCGAGATGAGCAATCCTGTTAGTTTAAGATTCTTGAGGATAAGCCATCCTTAATCGACTTAATCCTTCCTGTAGTAGTAGTAGCTGTGGAAGTAGTGTGTATTATCCTTGGAGTGTTCGTGAGTTGGCGCTCGGCAAGCTGATTGGCATGGTGCATTTTTCGCACCGACATGGGCGTCGTTTGGGGGGGGGGCATTCGCCCCTCCCCCCTAGAAATAGTCTTTTGATCAATTAAGCAGTAAAAGAGAGTTCGTATTGCTTTTCTCCATTTTTTCAAAATTTGTTAGGTACAGTAGACTCGTGCTAGTGTGAACACACGCTTCTGTGAATCTCCCAGTAGTATGAACAGCTAGAATGAATACATTATACAAATTCTGTAGTGTGAACTTTTGAGAATATCGGTAGTATGAACAATGTATTTGACTACGAATTTAACCGTTTTCTGCCTACTTGTTGTTTTCATCGATTGTTTCTATCCAATTATGGGGTTCCAAGAAGGTTTTGAGATAGGGTGACCATACGTACAGCATTTCGCTGTATTGTACAGCCTTTTCAAGGTCTGTCCAGCATTTAATTTTGTACAGCAAACGTACAGCGATTCGGATCCGATCATAATTAAGTTTTTCTTTAAAAAAAATTACGAAAAATTGTCCGTCAATAACTAACGACATTTCTACATTTGCGATTTACGTCATTTACGCCATCATTTCCCAGAGTATTCTTTTTAATGCTAACTACCTTTTTTATCTCTCTCTATTCCACGCTGCTAAGAAGAAGACACAGCATAATAGGTCTGTTTCTGCAGCAATCACAAACTAGTCAGCACGAATTCCATTGGTTGAAAATAGTCAGCAAGTCAGAAACAGCTAGAAAACTAATTTCAACCCAAGGTTTCTTAAGTTAATAGGTTTTCTGGTAATGGTAAACAGATGACGTCATCAGAGGGGGGATTCTCATCCCCTAGTCGCAACTTATCTTCCCGACTCACTTGTAGAAAGGCAATGGGATAGCCGAGGCGATAGGTTGCGACTAGAGGATGAGAATCCCCCATCAGGAAGATCTAATGGAGATTTGCATTATTTTAGGCATCCAGATGACGTCATAAAAGTTATCAGCCAACCTACCTCTTTCAAACAACCTTGGTTTCAAACATTAAGATTTCCAACCAATGAAATTCACTCTGACTGGTTTGTGATTTCTATGCGAACAGACCTGCTATTATGTTATGTCTTTCTTTTTTTTTTTTTGTTAAGTGGTACTAAAACGGGCTATAAAATCGACAAAATTTGCATCTAGTGCTTTCTACACTCACCTGTCCCAAAACTTTAGATGTGTACAGAATTCATACGAAAAAAATATGGCCACCCTATTTTGAGACAAGGAATGCACAGATATGTTGAGTTACTGCATTCACTCTAATGTGGAATACGCAAGTGGCAGCGCGTCAAGAGCACGTTCAAAATTCTATAAATCTTCAGTTCGTTGTTGTTGTGGTTAATCAGTTTTGTAAAAATGGCGAAAAACACAATTTTCTCAACTCTCTATGGGTCTGTTCTTACAAGAGTCTCTGATAGTTTGCAAACTGTCAGAATGCATCGCCCCTGCATGTTTTCAATGCCGTCATTCCAAGATAACTCAGTAACTTAGCTGAGCGATTGTTACTGACAGTTTGCAAACTCTCAGAGACCTTATGAGAAGTCAAAAATTCTAGAAGATTGCCAGCAAGGCAATAGCATATATTCGCGCTAATGACACAGAAAGCCTAAGAAACTTTGACAAAGTAAAGTCTGTTTTTTTTTAAAGATAATTCCCCAAGTCAAAAATTTAGTAACTATGTTGGCAACACAAGCCTTTACTACATAAAAAAATTGAAAGCTTTGACAATTTTACATTGTATTGCCAACACAATGTCATTTTGACTTTTATCTTTAAAAAAAAACAGATTTTAGGTAGCCGGTAGCCATCCAATGCTCAGGTAGAACCATTTAGACAAAAATTACATCTCACTTTAATCAATAAACTGGGAAAATTTACTTAATGGATAGGTTTTCAAGTACCTATGGTATTAATTTTTCTTGAATTTTAAGTTTAGAGACCATTGCTGACAATATTTTGCATTTTTAGGTAGACCTTCGATGGTTCAGTGAACGTCTCGATAATATGAACACGTCCGGAGGGCCGGTATTATAAAACACTGAACCGATGGTAGAGTTTCAAGTTCCAACCTTCGGTTGAAACCTTTCAATTTGCATGAAACTCAATCATCGATTCAGTGCTTTATAATACCGGCCATTGGAAAATTACCTAAACAAATGATGCGGACAGTGAATTTGTTGCGGAAAAAAATTCCATCATTTTTAACAAATATCGATATCAAATAAGTACGTTAAAATGCTCAAAAAGAGGCGTGCCACCAAAAAAAATTAGCCTACGGCGGTTGCCTGCGGCGCTAATGGAAATGGTCTTAATAGTTGTATTCCTTTCACACCTAGGAGGAGCTCCGGAACAGCTTCGGGGCTTCACGCGCTTATTCCTTTCGAAAAGTGTTTATTGCACCACGCATCTGTTCCCTGCAAATCGGGGGCGACTGAACACCGGAGCGAGTAGCTCGAGTGTTTCATACTCTTGAAAGGAATACAACTATTATTATACTGCCCCCCCTTGTGAAACGTCGTAACGACACCCATGCGCACCGACCAACATCAACAATCAGGGCTGAGGTGCTTTCCAGTGACCCATTTGAGTTACTCCTGAGCAGCTCAGGAGTGCTCCACAATTGCTTTGCGCGTTCCAGTGCTTAGAGTGTCGTACACTTGAGCTACTCATTTCTGTTATCCCCTGCCCCCTCGTGCACCAACCCTTTTGTCTGTGTTACATGCTCCTGAAATCCGAAATGGTGGGGGTTAAGACGAGAGCGTTCCAGTGCTGCTTATGTCGAACAGTTCAAGAGCGTCACACTTCAGGAGCATGATACTCTAACAATTTAGGCACTGGAAAGCGGCTCTGGAATCACGACAAGTAAAATTCTACCAGAATTCTATTTTCATGACGTCAGGTTGCATAGCAACCGTCATCATTACCTGTAGGGTTGCCAGACGTCCCGATTTTAACGGGACAGTCCCGATATTGGATATTTTGTCCCGTGTCCCGATGGACTATACGTCGGGACGCTAAATGTCCCGATTTCAGGGAATTTTTTTAAAAGTTGGAATAAATTAAAAGTACCTACTCCTACTTATAAGACACTTAATGTTTGAATTGTATTTGTTAATTATCTATTAGTATTATTCATAATTATGTCAAGATTCTTTTGGCTCCGACGATAAGAATAAACTAATGCATTTTATGAACTTTATGGATTAAAAGTACCCTTTTAATACCTGTTTTAAGGGGGTAAAGTGGGTCTTTTAATACCCGGGAATAAATTTCATTTTATTTCCCAAGGGATTAAATTTTAACTTTACTTCCCGGGGATTAAATAGGCAATGAAAGAGCGTTATTTTGTATTTTTAAATTTTGTTAGAAGTTTTATTGTTCAGTTACATTTTATTTCATTTATATTAAATTAGGTATTCCGTATTCCTTAAAAAAAAAGTGTCCCGATTTTTATTGAAAGTCCCTATTTTTTAACAGCTTTTTGATTGGTATACCCGATTTGTAGATATTTCAATCTGTAACCCTTATTACCTGGATAGGGATTCTAATTGCTCGAAGTCGAAGGATGCGACTCGGAAATAACATTGATGTTGCCTTTACGAGACGCTCGACTCGTGTCGACTAGTGAAACTGTAATCCGGCTACTGTACTGTACGCGATAAATAGGTCGCGGGTGATGTCATGAAAGTAGAATTCTACTTGTCGTGATCCTAGCCCAAGTTCTCTAACCGCAACCAATAACAAGTATTCTTGCTACACCACGTTCGTGCGAACTGCGACACAATAGTTGTATTCCTTTCACACCTAGGAGGGGCTCCGGAACAGCTCCGGGGCTTCACGCGCTTATCCTTTCGAAAAGTGTTTGTTGCACCACGCATCTGTTCCCTGCAAATCGGGGGCGACTAAACACCGGAGCGAGTAGCTCAAGTGTTTCAAACTCTTCAAAGGAATACAACTTATGGCATGTAATATTGACAGATGCGTTGAAGAGGGCGCTTCTGTACTTGGAGCTCTTCAAATTTTGGCGCGTGAATTATCGATTATAATTTTAACCTCAAAAGTTAAGTTTCAAATCGGGGGCGACTAAACACCGGAGCGAGTAGCTCAAGTGTTTCAAACTCTTCAAAGGAATACAACTGTGCTAATCAACCGTGCGTTCGGTATTTTGATCTGAGTTCTCCGAACTAAGCTCCGAACATGAATTTACCGTTCGTTTATTTGAAAAGTGTACTCGGTGCAGGCTCATTCATGTTCGTTTATTAAATTTCGAGCCCTCTGATACTGCGTTTAACTGCTCTGTGCGCTCACTGTTCACGTGATGGCGGCTCTACTCTGCACGCTCTGCTCTTTGAGCAAAATACCGAACGCAAGAACCCTTTTCACGTGGCTTCGGTTTAACAAACCGCAACTTACCGCTCAAATTCGAGTGGTAGGTATCCATCACGTCACTTTGTAACCGTTAGAAAACGGGTATGTCATTTCTCCAACCGTTTTGTAACCCGGTTAGTCTAAACTGGAGCCACGTGAAAAGAACTAAGGTGAATTCGCTTCATGTCAATTCGTTTGATTTGAACCGTGACAGTGACGTGACAGATAACAATTACTTTTTGGCGGTTAATTTTTTTTTACCACTACCACCATCCAAGCCACCATCTACTAGATAGGCAGGCAAGGGCCAAGGCGTCATACCATCTATACCAGGAAAATCAACCCAATAAGGCCTTAAGGGAAGATTTTGGAAAACCTAAAGCTAGAGCCTACAATATTTAGGGTGGTGGTTCAGAGAAAAATTCCAGTGTTTATCAGTACACAATGGCTGCAACATTCGAAGAAAAATGCCAACAATACTTTGGAACCACCGATTTTTATGAAGTTCTTGGTCTGAGTAAAGATGCCAGCGCAAAAGCCAGTAAGTATTAATAGAATATAATATTATGTAGTTTTCTAAATTAGGTATTATCATCAAGAAAATCATTGAATATCGTATTAGCATTTACCCCAAATTCATAAGTCAAATCAATATTTAAGAAATGCCGAACTAAGAACTCGGTTCAAATTTGGTTCACAACTTTGAAATAAAAGAATAAATTCATATCTGTGTTATACATGCTGTGGTTATACATACCATACCTCTCAAATTAGGAATTAAACTGAATCAAAAACTATGATCATGGCTGTTTGCACCAACCATTTTAAGGAAGGGTGGCATTCTTTGTTTGTAGAAACAAATATCTACTAAGACTAATACAGAAGAGTCAAAGAACTAAAAATTTAACATTCATAGATGTAAATAATGTCTGTGATGAGTATAAGGCTTGTGAAACGACTATTTGGGATACTTTGTCTCAATTAACCACATTTGACAATAACAACAGAGACATTAATATAATCCATGTAAATGGGAGAAGCATTTATAAAAATTTTGATAATTTTTGAGTATTTCTGGAGTCTACTGGTAAGATGTTTGATATCATAGTTATGACAGAAACCCATATTGTTCATGATAAAAATAATTTTAACATTCCTGGATACTCTGTATTCTGGAATGAAAGCACCATAAATCAGTTTGATGGATGTATGATATATGTAAGACGGCAATATTTCCAGAGTTGCAGCATCCTAGAATCAAACAATCTAAAATTTCTACATGTTTCACTATACAAAAACAATAATCTTATTAACATTTTGGGACTCTATAGATCACCAGCAACAGATATGGATGGTTTTGTGAATGATTTAGGTAACATTTTGGATACTACTTTATCCGATACTAAACAAATATATGTTCTGATTAGTGTTGTAAAATTCTCGGTAATTTTCGAACGTTACCGAACTTTCGGGAATGTTTGAGAATTTTCGAGAATTTCTGAGAACTTTGGAGAATGTTGCAAAACCACCTATAAATTCGGCTTTTTAATGTAGGGCTTGTGAAAATGTCTAAAGTTTCACTAAATTTCCCTATTTTTTTTTTTCTCTGGTAGGGGTAGGTGAATTTTCCATAAATGTAGACATAACCCTTGTCTATATGTATCATTAATTTATTGTAAAGAATCTGATAATATTTATAAAACTAATACAAGTCTTGTTTCTTGTAAGTTGGTGTTATAAAAAACAAACTAAAAAACAACATAGATATAGGTAGCAGTGTTAGCATGAAAAAATAAAACTCAAAAATCTTCAAATGCAAATATCTACATAACATAACTACATAAAGTATTAAGTCAAAACAAAAAATAATATAAAAAAATTAATTTAAAAATTAAAATAGGATCTCTAAAAAAAGGATTTTAAAAAACGAACTTTCTGTAGGTAATGGTAATAACATTAAAAAAAATAGTTACAAAATAAAAAAATAATAATAAAAATATTCAGAAATCAGGGTCCATGTCCATGATTCTCTGTTGTCCAATCAAACGATTAGGTAACGTTCAGAAATGCATTTTCAGCGAACTTTCGCTTAGAGAGGAGCGAACATTACCTTTAATTACGGTAATAATGCGAACGTTCGCTCGGTAAAGTTCGCTTGTTACAACACTAGTTCTGATAGGGGATATAAATATCAACTTACTCGATACAGCATCTCCAACAGTAAATAACTACATAACTATGCTAAACTCATATGGATTTTTGAGCATGATTAATAAACCAACTCGTGTACAGTGTACAACATCAGAGTGCTACATGTATTGATCATTGCTTTGTAAAATGCAACAATGTACGATAATCTAAATCCAGTTATATTGAAGAGAGATTTCACTGATCACTACCCCATCCTGTTGAATATTAAGCTTAATACAATTAGTAGATCTGAAACCTCTCAAAATAGACCTGTATTTCGAAAAATTAATTTTAGAAATTTAAAACAAAAATTGTCTGTTGAAAGTTGGAAGGATGTGCTTGGGAGTACTGATGCTGACTCCTGTACATTCATTGATCTCATGCAGAAATATGTACAAATGTGTAGCACTATGACTCATGTAACCAATAAACAAATAAGGCTGAAACCCTGGATCACAAGTGGACTCTTAATTTCCATACGTAAAAGAGACAAACTGAAAAAATTATGCACATTAAATCCAAATAATGTTGAAACATTAAATACTTACCGGCGATACAGAACTAACTTATCTAAACTAATTAAAAAATCTAAATATAACTATTATAAAGCAAAAATTAATCAAAACCCTACAGACTCAAGAAAAATTTGGAAAATAAAAATCAACCCACCATCTTGTGAGCCAGGGTCCCAGCAAAAAGTATGTAATCCGGAATCTTTCTTTTTGTCACCAGTCAGAGACCATGAACTTCTGGAGCAGATAAAAAACCTTAAGTGTGGTGTCTCTTGTGGAGAAGATGGCATCACATCGGAGCTGATAAAGTATAATCATGAATATTTACTGCAACCCCTAGAGCACATTATAAATGTCATTTTTGGTTCGGGAGTGTATCCAACTGTCCTTAAAGAAGCCCAAATTACTCCCCTTTATAAAGGGGGCGACAAGAAAATGACAACTAATTATAGACCAATTGCACTAATAAGCACTGTTAGTATAGTAATAGAAAAATGCATTAAACATAAATTGATGATATTCTTAAATAAACATAATCTATTATCACAGAACCAGTTTGCTTTTAAAAATAACATCAGCACAGAGAATGCATTGTGCAAAGTGACAGAACAGATTATAAAGGGTTTGGATAACAGGGAAAGAGTTGCTGCCATATTTCTGGACTTGGCAAAGGCCTTCGACACGGTGGCGCACGAAGTTCTATTAAACAGATTACATGATATGGGTATAAGAGACTTAGCTAATGATCTATTTAAGACATACTTAACTGATAGAACCCAAAAAGTTAAAATTGGGAATGTAAGAAGTGATTCTGTAAAGATGGGAGTTGGTGTACCGCAGGGAACTGTGCTGGGGCCTTTGTTATTTAGCATATATATAAATGGTATTTTTTCTGTATTAACTGAGGGAGGGGTTTTCTGTTTTGCAGATGATAGTGTTATTATAGTGAAAGGGAATACATGGCAATCAACTATTAGGAAAGCGGAACTAGCAATAACAAACATAAAAAGATGGTTAGATTTTAGCTTGTTATCACTTAACATTGATAAAACTCACTTCATGACCTTCGCTCTAACTCAGGCAACCCTTCCGGAAGTTCAAGAACTCAAGGTTCATGATTCGGTTTGTGACATGCAAGCCTTAAGCTGCACATGTCAGTCCACAATCAAAAGAAAAGACAGTCTGAAGTATCTGGGGGTATTCATGGATGAAAAATTAACTTGGAAAACACACATAGATACGTAACTTCCAAATTAAGAAAGCTGATTTATAAATTCTACGAGCTACGAAACATATTACCATTTAAAACTCTTAAAACCATATACGTGTCGTTAATTGAATCAATTTTAAATTATGGTATTGTTGTCTGGGGAAATGCCCGAAAGAATATTATATCAGCCCTAAATGTAGCTCAAAAATATGTAATTAAAATCATGTATTTTAAAAATAGAAGATATCCCTCCGATTTATTATTCCATGAGTGCAAACTACTGACTTTAAACCAACTATATATGCTAGCGGCAATTCGTTTTATGCTAAAAACAAATTATTATAAACAGGAGATTACCCATCAACTCAATACTAGAAATGCAATTTGTCAGAATGTGATTATACCATCTGTGACCACTTCAGCCATACAGAGACACCTTTACTTTACTGGTCCAAAACTTTATAATATTTTACCTCCTTGCTTGAGAACAAGGAAGTACTGTCAGGTTAGGCATAGGATTAGGAAATGGATAGTGGATAGTGGAGTAACTATTAATGGTTTTAATTAGATTTAACTTTAATTTATTTTTATTTAATTTTGTTGAATTTTGTTAAATTTTATCAAATCTGTTAAATTAATTCCATGTTATTAGATAATTATTAACCTTACCAGTGATATTATTATATATATTTAAGTTAAGGCAATAAGTATTAACATCTGCACACACAGATTTTATAATCCATTGTGCAGTTCCAAGTCATTTGTACCTAATTATTGTACCTGAGTATTGCATAAATTATTATTAATTATTAAATTATTTTTTCTACTGACGTTTCATAATAGCAACTTTTCGATTGTCATTTCAGTTTTGAAACGACATTCTTTTAGGCACTGAGTGCGTGAAAGTTACTTTTAGGCACTCAGTGCGTAAAAGTGACTTTTGAATGCGTAAAAGTGACTTATGAGTGCGTAAAAGTAATTTTTAAGCACTAGTGCCTAAAAGTGTCATTCATTATTCAGAAATAAAAAACACACTAAACACATATTTGAATTTTGTTTTGTATTTATTATGAATATTGAAAATGGAATTACTGAATTGAACGTTTGGGTTACTCAAAACAGAAGTTTGTGTTATTACCTACTTTCTAGGATTTTAATTATTGATGTCGAATTTTGAAAAGAAAATCGTATGAAAAGTGTCAGGTGTCAAGTAAAAGCAGGTAACAAAGATTTTGGGTGTAATCGACTTATTCACATGAAATAAAATTGTGTTTTTTTATTATAAAATGCCAGTAGAAAAAATCTTGTATACAATACGTTACGAAACGATGTCTTTTAGTCACTCGACGTGTTGTCCAACTCGGCTTTGCCTCGTTGGACAATTTTCACGTCGCGTGCCTAAAAGACGCTCATTTCGTAACTTATTGTATAAATAGCTAATTTGTCCATGTAAAAATGTCATTTTAAGTAATATCTACTTTCCTACTAATTGTTAGGGCTTCCCTTAAATAGTTGGTGCAAACAATCGATTCAATTTAGAATTTATGCCTCGTGAATTCAATTATAACATATGATGGAAAAGGTGTTGGAAGAGGTAAAATCTTGCATACCATCATTCCGAGCATCATACATAATAAAAGAAAGGGAGTGACTACTGCATTGATCTGTGCTGACCAGACAGTGCCGACTAAAATCTATCAGCACAGCCTAGACAGTGCCGACTGAAATCTATCTGTGCACTGTCCAGACAGTGCCAACTAAAAACTATCTGCACTGTCCAGATAAATTCATTATCATATCATATAAAGTTATAGTTACATCCAAAATGGCTTGCATTCTTTGCTGGGATTCAGTGTATTGATATACACAATAAATAATATTCGGTAAAATGAGTGTTTTTTTAATGGTGCCTGAGAGTGTAAATTTTTACAGGTCAGGTCGAGGCCAAAAATTCATTCGAAGGTGCCCATAAACACAAATGTCGCATACAAAATACAAATTAACTTTTTCGTACTAGCGTGCACAAAGTACTCAAAGTAGTACTTTTCCGCACTCATTTCCGAGCCCGAGATTATACTCTTTTGCACTCCGAGGAAAAATGTTGATTATATTTCGTATGCGACTTTTGTGTTTATATGGGCACCTTCGAATACATTTTTGGGCTCGACTGACCTGTAAAAATTGACACTCTCAAAAAAACTCATTTTGCGCACTTTATGTAAATAGTTATTTTCCTAACAAGTGCGCAAAGTGTTACTTTTCCGCACGCAAACACAGTTATACGAACGACGCGAAGCGGAGTTCGGATAAGTGTTACGTGCGGAAAAGACACTTTGCGCACGTGTTAGGAACTAAATTTTTCCTACGAGCTTCATATCAGGTAGGTAACAACCAAAATTTAGAAAAAAAAAACAATAATTTGTTCAATTATTTTTAATTAACTTGAAGCGAACCTATGCAGTTATCAAAAAATTACATAAGAAGAAAAAAAAAATAACAGAAAATCATCGTCAGAGCCCTTTATCTTAAAACGTTCAAATTTGATGAGAAAGTTTGTAAATTCTTGCATATCAATAGAGAACAAATCTGACAATGCGTCAAAGTTAATTAAATTTGGTGTTTGTATAGATGTTGGCTGATATAGAAACAGAGGAAAAATTTGTCATCATGTGTCAACATCGACAGGTGCACTTATTGTTGCTTGACAATTATTTTTACTTTTCGGCACTCAGTGCGGATAAGGCCTGTATCCGCACTGAGTGCGGAAAAGTGCAACTTTGAGAACCGAAATGCGTGCGGAAAAGTACTACTTTGCGCACGCTCGTAGGAAAAATAACTATTAATCCCAGCAAGGAATGCGAGCCATTTTGAATATAACTATAACTTTATGTGATATGATAATGAAATTATCTGGACTATTTTGGACAGTGCATATGATTTTTAGTCAGCACTGTCTGGACAGTGCAGATGATAGATTTCAGTTGGCACTGTCTAGACAGTGCTGATAGACTTTAGTCAGCACTGTCTGGTCAGTGCAGATAGTTTTCAGTCACCACTGTCACTCCCTGAAAGAAAATCTGTATTAAAACAAAAAACTTAATTCTTATGAGGTTAGGTTAGAAAGAAAAGAAAATATTGTGTTAATCTAACTAAAAAATGATAAAATACATAACATGAATGACCTCGACATATAGGGCCTGATTTGAGTTTGTGTCATTTTTCAATTTTCTAGGATATAGCTCTGTTTCAACCAACATGAGAACCGTTCTAGAATGGTAATTTCCGGTTGCCCACCTGTTTTCCAATAAGCTGAATGTTTATCCTAATTGTCAAATGAATTTATCGACTGGAAATTACCATTCTAGAATGGTTCCTATGTCGGTTGGAAAAGAGCTTATATATATGTTAATTATCATCAATTTATAAAGTTTTATGTCTTCTTATTCCGGATCTTCATCCATCTCTGTCAATCCAAGCTTCCTCCTTCAAGCCTCTGTTGGCGTCATCCCTACGAATAATTCAAATTCAATTTTTTATAACAACGATAATAACATTTTGATATAAAGATTCAAGCCACAATACACTGACTAATATAATATATAAATAGGCATAAATATTACAGCAATTCAATAAATTTTTTAAAGATACATAATTACTTATTTTTAGTTAAAAAAGCATACCACAAGCTCTCTCTCCTGGTGCATCCTGATAGAGTCGACCAACATCATAAAGAAGTCGCAACTGAAAAATTTAAAGTGCTTGGCAGAATCCATTCCGTTCTCCAAGATAAAGACAAGAGAAAGATCTACGACGATTCTGGAGATTTTGATGAAGAAGGAGATGTCGCGTTCAACTGGAAAGAGTACTGGCTATCCATGTTCAAGCCAATCTCATTAAGCGACATAAAGAAACATGAACAAGAATATATCGGATCGGAAACTGAGAAAAGAGACATCAAGAGGGCATATGAGGGTAGTAAAGGTATGTTTCCAGTATTATAATTTTTTTAACTTTATTCTAGTTCTCCATATGATTTCAAATATTGTTCATGTTATGATACAAAAGTTCATACAAGTCAATTCTTCTTTCTAAACTAGTTGCTAAGCTATCAAATATTCTTATGCAAGGATTTCCCTCCATGAGAGCTAATGTATGAATTGGTAGTAGCACATCCAATGGTAGTACCAGTACCTACTTATCCAACGTTCTTTTCTCAGTTCTTCTCTCAGTGTTATGTTGGAAGTATGGGCATTTAAATTACTCATTGATAATGAGTTGAGAAATGTTGTAGGATCTAGTCAATCTAAGATGAGATGGAGAGAAAGGGTGGATTCCTCATCCACCTGTCATGTGAGGCTATGAGACTCCTCTCTTCATGTAGGAGAGAGTAGGGTGTTTTTCCACTTCCCCCTTATAGATATCTAGTTGGTCCATGAATATTCTCTCGCAGAGCAGAGCCCAGCATGCCATTTGAGAGCTATTTAAACCAAAGGCACGCAGCCTTTGGCCTATGCAGTTTTGAGGTGATTTGGTGGGACTGTTGTGGTTACATACAATTGAATGTGAGGAGGGGAGGTTGGAGTACCTACTCCACCCTATTTCCCTGGGTATGCTGAGCTGCCTAATTGTACTACTAAATTTGTTTCCCCCCTGTTGACTAATATCAGTTGTTTTTGTCAAACCAGTTTTTAGCTTGCATATCAAGGCCAAGTTTGTGATCCTGGAGTCACTTTTAGAATTTTCTATTAGGAAAAAAACAAGAATAAAATTTAAATAATTACTATTTCAGGAAAAATGGATGATATATTGGAAATGGTGCCATTTAGCAACTGCGAGTCAGAACCAAGAATCATTGAAATAGTGAGGGAAATGGTAGACAATGGTGAGGTTGAAGAATATGAAAGATTTTTTAATGAAAATAAAACGCAAAAACTGAGAAGGAAAAGGAAGTGGGAAAAAGAAGGAAAGCTAACGGAACAGATTGATAGTAAACTATACAAGTTGAGTTATTTTTTATCATTTATTTAATCCAATATTTTTAGTGGAAGAGATAGAGAAAGAAATTCAAGCTAGGAAGATGAAACACGCTGCCGTCTTTGCCGATATGATATCGAATATTGAAAAAAAATATGTACATAAAAAGGCGAGAAAGTCTATCGAGGATGGTACAAAAAAGAAGAGAACCACTAGACAGAAGTAATTCTGGAAATGTAGCAAACAAGTCTGTTCAATCAATGTTGATGCATAGAAGTTTTGAATTGAATATATTTTTTTTTTGTTTATTGCAAAATACATTTAATTATAAGTAAGTATTGTCATTGATAGCACTTGACTAGCATCATAATTTCACATAAGTAATACAACATTTTTTCAAACTATCTAAAGTAGCACTATTTTTTTAATTTAGAGGAAGTTCATTTTGATATTTTAGTCCAAGTAAAAATTATTAGCTGAATAAGTGTTATGTGTATGGACGTCTTTAGCAAACTTGCAGTATACCTACTATAGTTGAATTTTGACCGTTATTTTCACCAGTTGAAAAATAAAATCCCCAGATCTGTCCCTTTTTCTGTCAACTATCAAATAATGATATAGTATTTTTGATACCTATTTAGAAGTACCTGTCGTTTTAGTGACAAAACGTATGTCGCTTCTTGACACACAAATAAAATGAGGTTAGGAATTTCCTATTTGTAGATGAAATTGACGTATTAGCAATCGACGTTCGTTTTTGTTGGTAATTTTTTGTTTCATCTGATTCGTGATTGATAAATAAGGATGGGGTTATTCTAAATGGGTATTACAAATGCTATACATGACATTTCGATTTTTTTTTTTATTTGTCAAGCACATTGTGTTTATTACATTACAATCTAGTTAGTTTCGATTTCGATTTGACATAAAAATATCATATTCGGATCTTTGAATTATGAATTTCGAATTTTTGTGTGAAATCGTTTCAGGTTTTTGACGTTTTCTGCATTATTTTTTGATATTTTGTTATATTTGCAATCGGTCTTTTGGTTTTTTATGTAGTGTTCTGTGCCTTTATGTTTCGGTGCTGCGTTTCAAACCTGGTATATCACTTTTCTAAATACGACCCTTGTCGTTCATTCCAGCTGGCGGAATCGAAGCGCTAACGCATGCTCGCAACCTAAAGAAAAAGTTACTAGAAATGTCAACGCGAACTGTCAACTTCACTTTCTATCGTGATTTCAACTATATAACCCAGTATTCTTGAAACCTTATTTTTTTTTTGCAAAGTAATAAGGTGGGTTTATAAAAAAAAATTAACACTTAAACTAATTTGAGAAAATTAACTTTTAACTAAGAATTTAAACATGTGCTTAAAGTTCGTTTCACCAGGGTTCATACTTGACCTTGAAACTTGACAAAAAAGGGTTGTCGTAGATTAATTCATATGACACATTCAATTTTTTTGACAAATTAAAATGAATGACGTCTGGTTTAAGAACCGACGAACGTTTTTGACGTCATTGATTTGTTTCAGTCAATTTTTATTTGTTAAACAAGGAAGACAAATGCTGGTGGCAAGTACAAACCCTGGTGAAACAAACTTTATGTATTCTTAATTCTAGTTGATAAGTCTTAATTTTTTTTTATGAACTGCTATATTACATACCTATCATAATCTCAACTATTTAAGTTAAATGTTAATTCTTAGTTTAACTGCTAATTTTTTTTATTTTTATAAACCCACCATTATATAAATTTCAACTAGAGTTCCTCCACCTTTGAGATGAAAGTTACCCTAGCTCTTCAACTAATGTGGCATGATGTGCAGAAAATTTTTAACGATCAGAAATGCATCCCTTTAAATTCACAAAAGTTCAACAGCTGAAACCGACTGATTACCAACGTCAAATTCGATATTAAGAGACACTTCTGACACACTTATGAGTATCTAAACTTTCTAAAAAAAAATTAATATGGACCGATGAAGTTAAATTTTCTAGAGAAGGTATTTTTGATAGGAGATCCACATGCGGTCAAGGACAAAAAGATCCCAAACCCCCAGTTGCAACAAAATAGGTTGTGACAGTATTTTTTCTACTACCTCACGTAAAGTACTCACTTTATGCACTATTGCGAAGACGTTAAATTTCACTTCACACACTAGTGCGTAAAGCGCGTAAAGTAATGTCAATGACAGATGTCGACACTGTCAATTTAGTATTTTTCTTTTTCTGGTAAATTACTAGTGCGTGAAGTATTTGTCTAAATTTATTTTTCTCACATATTTTATTGATAGTAGAAAAAATGTTGTATGCAATAAGTGTGTACAGAACCGTTTTTTACTCATGTGATTGTCGCACGTCACATTCGTGAAAAAAAGTTCATGTAACACTTGTTACTGCTATTTAATAAGACATAATTTTTAAATTCCTAATAAAATTCTTACAGAAACTTGCCTGTATTTCCGAAACCTTACTATTTAGGTATAGGAATATGATACATCATTTGTAAGGGATTTTAATTGCCTTTCATAATATGCAGGGTGTTCTATTTGAAAAAGTGCACTGTTCATCAGCGGCGTATCAACCCAGCTCCGGGCCTGTGTGCCAAAATCTCCGCAGGCCCATTACAGGTTCCCCGCCCGAGGCGATTTTTTTTCTGGCTAACCCAAACTAACCCAAATTTTGCCCCAAAAGTCGTTGAAAAAACCCTCCTAAAATTTTTTTTAGGTTTTTTTATTTGAACGTTCTGTCAGAGTCCGAATCGGTTGACCTGTTCAAGATAGAATAGAGGCGTTTTGGAGTATTTCAAGGTCGATTTTAAAAAAACGCTTGGGCACATCAATTTTGTGTTCAAGGGTGAAACTTTATGACTCCATCGGTGTTTTGCTAGGGTACTCTCCCTGGGTAGGGTGACTTTCACCCCCCTTTTTTAGATAGGGAAGATGGGTCGAGCATACCTTGTTTAAAGGTATTTTGATTCTCGTCACAACTGTGTACTTTTTTTGGAAATCGAATGATTAGTTCTCAAGCTATTTACTGTCAAAGTTGCCATGGGCTAAATAAGAAACAAACTTCTGGCCGTGTAATTCTTAAATTAACACTTTCCTGACTTTCCTTTCGGAAACGTCAATTTTAATTTTTTCGGACGCACACAAGAGTAGCAAATTGACGTGTCCGAAAGGAAAGTCAGGAAAGTGTTAATCTGAGAATAACAGGGCTAAACTCTGTCTAACCAAAGTTGAACGTTGAAGGTCCACTTACTCGAATATATCATAGACGTTGCTTTTTGCTGCTGTAATTATTGCACGCGCACTGTGTTTCTCAAACCAAAATGGGTCCGAACTTGTGAATCCTATGGTTACAATGGTAAGTAAGTGACCTTCAACGTTCAACTTTGGTTAGACAGAGTTTAGGAGATTGTTTCCTATTTAGTCCATGGCAACTTTGAAAGTGAATATCTTGGGAACTAATCATTCGATTTTTCTTACTCAAAAGTAATATGCAGGACCTCCCTAAGTTATCTCCAAAATTTAAACTTTCTACGAATCTCAGGGACGTAGTAATACAAATTTAACTAGAGCTATGTATTGAAGAAAAAATAAAGAAATTAATTAATAAGTCGAAAATCACTAGAAATAGGTATAGTATTATACAAAAATGATCAGAAAGTAATAGCGGAGCGAAAAATGCAATAATATACAGGGTGTCTCATTTAAAATTTCAAAGTTAATATTACTTTTTGGTATAAGCGGCAACATCGCATCGTTGAAATTATTTTAGAATGATAGATCAGGAGCAATTACATAGGCGGTTCTAGCCCATCTGTGCTGGGGGGGCTGCAGCCCCTGCTCCGAGGTCGCTCGCCGCAGGCACTGTCAGAGGCCCCGCCGGAAGCTAAAATTTTTTTTGGCTGCCACGCCCAAAAACCTTGTCAGAAACCCAAGTTTTACAACGTCTCCACTCCAAAGGTTTCCAACGTTGCTACAGATTAACATCGTATCTAGACAATGCCGCTTAGCAGAGCAAAGCAGAGCGTAAACTTTGGCTGCTCCTATTTATTAAACACACCTACAGGCAACAGAGGCAACCCTGTCCCTAGCGGTGGGGGCTAGGGTTGCCTCTGTTTCCAGACATCCCGATTTCGGATATTTATGAAATAATTGAATAAAATTTTATGAAATAATTAGATGAAGGTATTAAATCAGTGAAATTAATGAAATTATGTAGTTAAATAATCCTAACGCTTGAATATTTTTTATTCAGGGACTGCGAACTTTTGCCACTCATCATTAATTTAAATTTGGGGGGGCTAATTCCAGATTTGGGGGGGGCTAATTCCAGATTTGGGGGGGCTTAGCCCCCCCAAGCCCCCACCTAGAACCGCCTATGAGCAATTACTTGGGCATGCAAATTTTCAAAATATCCAACATTTCGTTTTCCATAAACGTCTAACCTACCATCGACTCATCGACCATCAATCACCCTGTATATACTGGTATTACCAAAGTTTGGTATTACTATGTAAATATATAACTTTTCAATAATTGATCTACACTGAAGTCTTAATAAAGGGTATTTTTACTATTTTTTTCAAATTGCTCATATTGGGTTTTACATGGTAACTTTTGAACCTGTTGGTTTATGCCATGGTCAAATAAACGTCCACTACGTTTATTTGAGAAGACCGCGTTCTCAAATTCAAGGTAATGCCTTTCGGACAATGATTGAGTCACTTATAGTAGCCGTACCACGAGGACCTAGGTGCAGAGCCTTAATTGTCTATCTGGATCATGTGTTAGTGATGGGAGAAACTTTCAATGAATTCCATCACAACAAATTGCCTCGTTTATTTTTACAAATTGAGATATTGTCCATGTTTCCATGTCCATGCCTCTCGAAAGAGAGGCATGGACATGGAGATTGGATGGATGGAGATTGTCCATGGACAATCTCCATCCAAATCTCACCAACTGCATGTTTCATGCAGTTTGAAAGAAAAGCTCCGCAAATCCTGGTATCCGATTTCAAAATGGATTTTTTTTTTAAATTTCCGAGTAGACGAACGCCAATGTGACTCGTTTTTGAAAATTGTGAAATCAACCTGTCTGAGTCGAATTTATAGTCGCTCCTTGAGGTTTCCTTGGATCTTGAGGAAGCCTTGGACTTGGACCTTGGAAATTTTAGAATTGACATGATAAACTCGTCGAATAGGCTGTGACAAAAGTATCCATTCTAAACTAACGACGCCTCCAGGAAAGACTATAAATTCGGCCCTAGGAAGGAATTGCCCACGGACTTAGTGACCTTAAGTCCACTATGTTCTGAAGAGATGGCGGTACCCAGTTATTACCGCGGAATTGTTGGTATTATTATTATTTACTTTTTGGTAAAGGATAAGTACCAATACTTCTCTACCTATATAAGATGTTATACATTTTCTCTTATAGAGTGTGTCCGTGTGTCCCGCTTTTCATGAATACACCCTGATATCTACGTTATCAATAATGCGATTTTATTCAAATTTTGGTGGACATTGTGCGTTAGAAAAATGAACTATTTCACATAGTTAACATTTTTACAGGGGTTGCATTTTTAGGAAAAAGATATTAGGGCTTATTTTAAATATTTTTTTTTGTATCAGATTAAGAATCAGCATCCCCAAAAACTCCTTAATTCATATTTTCAAAATCTCAAGAGATGATTTTAGCAAAAAATAAATAAATTTATTTCAATTTACTTTTTTTAATAAGCTGTTAATTTTCAATAAGAAGGTGGTTACGTTGAAAATACAATATTCTAAAATAATGTCATCTGTAATTTGATTACCACAATTAGAAATAAACAACTTATTAGAAAAAGTGAATTGCAAGCAAATGAAAATCGCAATATTAATAACTAAGATATCGGGGTGTATTCATATCTTAGATTCATATGAAAAGCGGGACACATTGTATAGGTACCCTTATAATTATGAAATTAATTTAACAAGAACTTTTTCATTAGGTAAAACTTTTTCCCTAAGAAATCTGCAGGCGTGGGAAATTGTTTTTTGGAAAAATATTTTGATCAATAAATTAATGTCTATGAGAAATAGGTACTATTCAAGGGTCGTCCTCAGGTTCATCATTCATCCACTCTAGCTTGAAAATAAAACAAATAACTATTAATTACATAAATATTTAATTTTATACTGCCATATAAACTTTCGGGATAAATAAAAATAGCTATAATACATTACATAAATAATAAAATAATAAAATTTACAGTTTTGGACAATTTTACAATTTACATAAAATTACATTTAGTACAACATTTTTAGAAAGCTCAGTAAGTATACATACATTTAATTCTATTAGATACAAAGATACATATTAGGTAAAAATATTAAATTCGATTTTTCAATTCAACTACGGGTATAAATAACCCTTAAAAAAATAATACCTAAGTGCTAAATAGACATTCAACTAAAAACTTTAATGCTGAAAAAACGATTATTAATGCTTAAAGCAGTTTTAAAATTAAATAAATATAATCCGTAGGATCAAGGATTGTTTTCATATTTAGCCAAAAGCTTAGAATAATAGATACCTACCTACTTATACCTATGTACAAATACCTAATACTTACTTTATTTTTATTTTTAAGGAACAAACGTTTAAAAAAATGTACAAATAAATAAAAATTCACTGGTCATTAAGCGCAATAATTTACATTACTTAAAGCAATTTATTTACTTTTTATTGAATTTTTGAATTTTTAAAAAACTTTTAAAGCTATTAAAAATACTGGTAATAATCACTTTAAGTTTAGTTGAAGCGGGTTTATATTATAAAACAGTCTTTTAATATTTTTTTTTTCATAAAATCCTTGGGTAACTAAACTTTTTTTTATTCTACTTTTTAGTCATCATGTATGTGTGTTGGAATTAAATAATTCGCAGTAGCATATAACACATTGGCGTACCAATGCACCCCTTCAGCTGGCAATTCTTTTCTAATTTCATTAATTGGTACCATCCAGCCATGCAATGGGTTATTTAAAAGAACCCAAAACCTATGTATACCTAGTTTAACATTCCAAACTAAGCGCAAAGGCATAAAAGCCCAATGAGCCAAAGTTTGACTATCAACGGTGGCATAGCAAGAAGCTACTACTTCATTTACAACAACCGTGCCAACTTTGGTTAAAGGCGCGAACACGCCTGTTCGAAACACTGTTTTAATTTGTTCTATAGTGTCTTTACTTAAAGAGTTTTTATCATCACTAACTAATAAATTATCACCAATTTTGAGTGATTTAGCATATACTGTCCGACCGTCTTTTAATGTGATTAAGTGATTTGATGTCACCGTTAAAGTTCTACCGGATTTCAAATGGAAATTGAGGAACTCGCGTCTTTGTGACGGATTGTAATCTAGGAACAGGATCACTTCACTAAATACTAATTTTTGGGTGGCTGGATCGTGTGAAAGGATTTTTTCTCCCACGTGGAGTTCTGAGAGTTGGCGTCGTACACCGGTTGACGTTAGTACTGTACTTTCGCCAGTGAAACAACCACCATATTTTGCTGCTTGTGATGATTCTGAAACAAGAAGAGAAAACATTATTAGTATTTTTTATAAGAATTGCGTTTTGATTGTGTATATTAGGCAATTTTTCAAGGGTCGTTATAGGCGCTCAAATCTCTAACACAAGATACTAAGTACCTATTGTTGAAGGAATCCCAACATTAACGCTCATAATAGCTACATACTTCAGACATGCTCCTTTTTACCCACTCAACTGGTAATACAGAGATATGTGAAGGAGAAATAGAATGCGCTTAGACGACTGCGCATCCGATTTTATGGTAACGCATAGGGTGCCACCATTTTTATCACTTCTTACTTGTTTTTATTTATGCCGTTTCCGATTGGTACCCGAGGGTTGGATTTTCTTTTTGAAGAGGGTTTGTGGGTGGTGCAATATCCATCGTCACCAAAAGTATCTGGGACACAAATAATGCATAATAATCTCCTGGACTAATTCTACTGTCATTCATTTCAATGCATTTAATGCATAGTTTGACAAATATTTGACAATAAAATTCATCTAATAGGATAAGAGCTAATGTGATGCTGTCCCAGTTATTTTTAGTGACGATGGTACATCTAGTGCAATTCTTTTTTATTTCTATCTTTTTCTTCTACAGGTCGATGAAAAAGGATGAATATACACTCAGTGCGTATTAAATGTATTAATCGGAAACGTTATGTCGACAACTTCAATCTGAAAGATTATTCACAGCATAACCTTACTTTTGGTCGGTTACACAGATTGTTGTTGGAGATTTTTCCTGCTTTTCCAGATATTTTTTTTTATCAGAGTGGTGTTTTAAAAGATTTATTTTTGTTATTTCTGCTTATTTTTGGAACTATGAGTTGTTCATAGCCTATTTTCCCAACCCCCGAATCTGACAAGTGATAAAAATGGCGGTCCTTCAAATTCGGCCAGTTGCGCAGGATGGACCCTTATTCTATTCTAACCAACAACTCTCCCATATTTCTGTGGTAATAGTGTGGTGGGCCTATGGCGGCCAGTATGCCAATATCCAGAGCGGTGGAATTTCTGTTTGGAATTCGTTACGAAATTATATTCGTGAGGAAAAACCGACGCCATTTTTCACGATTTCTAGCTTGAGTGGTTTCGTATATGAGCGCGTAGTTTGTAAGTTGCTGTCAGTTTAAAAATAAGTACTAAGTTTGAAGTAAAAACGATAAGTAATTGGTCAATTAGTCTAATAAAAGTTATTTCTTGTTAGTAAAGAGAATTTTAGTGGACCTGCGGAATTCGTGCGTGTCAAGGGTGGGATAGGTACCTAATTAGGAACACAGAATTGGGATTTATTGAATTCAGCTAATTAGTGGGTATAATTAATGAACTTTTGCTGACTTGGAACAGTGACTTTATTACTGGGTTCAACACCCATAGGGCCGGTTTTTCAATAGCGAGTCACCTCCGGGTTAGCTTTAACCCTAAAGGGTACACGTGTCCAGTTGCTATGTTTACCCTGGAGTTATGCTTAACCTGAGGGTGACTCGCTATTAGTTGTATTCCTTTCACACCTAGGAGGAGCTCCCGAGCAGCTCCGGGGCTTCACGCGCTTATTCCTTTCAAAAAGTGTTTGTTGCACCACGCATCTGTTCCCTGCAAATCGGGGGCTTCGAAGCACCGGAGCGAGTAGCTCGAGTGTTTCAAACTCTTGAAAGGAATATGTACAACTATTGAGAAACCGGCCCACAAACAAGTTCACAAACGAGTTTTCCGAAAAATTCCAGAACATTATGAAGTGGTCTATTTGGAAACCGTGAGGGATACAAGACTAGTGACTTTATTACAATTTATTTTTGACATCGACTACAGAGAGTGGAAAAATATGTTGAAGAATATTCTACATCTTTATGGAAGTCTTAAGACCAGTCATTTTTGTATTAGTGTGTCAAATATATTTCATATTTTCCTCTTAATATGAATTATGGTTTTTCTGAGTTTCAATACTGCAGATTGTAATGCACTTCTTGCTCTTACGATAAATATGACAGAAGATACCTTACAAAAAGTTATGAGTTTTTCTACAGCAAGAGAAGTGTGGGTTGAATTGAATAGGCTCTTTGATGGCAATGTCGAGGAAAAACCTATGATGTTTGCTTAGAATTTTTCAACTATAAGAAGAAAGTTGAAGATGATATAGCAACGCACACGTTTAAGCTCAAGAACCTGTGGACTGAGCTGCAAAAGGGGTTATCAAAAGATAAAATCATTACAAATAAAACATGTAATTGTGAGTTACCTGAGTTGCTGTTAGTCTGTAAGATTTTAGAAACTCTACCCCAAGACAACTTCTCCTTCAAGTTAAACTGGGATGTTAATGTCAAAATCTGACAGGACTATAGATAATTTAACAAAGCAGCTTTGTTCTCATGAGAAGGCCTTATCAGATAAGAATAATAAAAGTCATCAGGAGGCGTTACTTGCAGAAAAGAGAAGCAGCTCGACCAATAAGAGAAAACTAATTTGCAATTATTGCAAAAAAGAAGGTCATAAGGTCAAACAATGTATTAAATGGAAAGCAGATGGTAGACCTCCAAAGCCAGAAAGCTCATATTCAAGAAATAACATAGCACAGAAAAATAAGGAAACAGCAATGATGTTAGTTGCCTTAACAAGTAGTGTCTTATTTAGCGAATGTGACGAGAATAGCTGGTTTGTGGATAATGGGACTACAAGTCATATTACAAATCGAGGTGATATCTTTGAAACAATTGAATATTTTCAAGATACACACACCATAACGACAGCGAATGGAGAAACAGTTAGAGCAGTTGGAACAGGAAACATTCTGGTAGAAACAAAAGTTCAAGACAGAGAAGATGTTTTGACGTTATCAGACGTATGGAACGTTCCTCTGACAAGATTTACAGTCTACATCAAAGTTTATTTCAAGCACTAGAAAATGCAGTTTTATAGTTTGTGGTAAAACCATAATGACAGGTGAAAGAAGTAGATTTGGAGGACTGTTTAAATAAGCATTGCAGATCATATAGCCAGAGGAAACAGCTCAAATCAACATAGTTTCAAATGATAACTTATTGCAACTATACCATGAACGCTTTGTTCATCAAAACAAATGACACATCAGAGATATTTTGAGTCGTGAGTTTGAACTCAAAGTGACCTTAGACCGCGAAATATGTGAGGGTTGTATTTATGGTAAAATGGCCAGGAAAAAGTTTGGAACGAGAAAAAGAGTAAAGGTACCAGGAGAATTCTTACACACAGATGTTTGTGGGCCTTTTGAAAAATCCAAAAGTGGCTATAGGTACTTCATGTTCTTCAAGGATGATTTCAGTCGTTATCGTTATGTTTACTTTCTGAAAAAAAAATCTGAAGTTGCGGAAAAACCGACAATTATGTTAACTGAAGTAAAAACAGTAGGACATACAGTAAAAGAGTTATTTACTCTCAGATAATGGTGGAGAATTTGACAATGGTCAAGTAAGGAAAATTCTATAAAAATATAAAAAAGTGGAATCAAACAGAGACTCGTAATGCCTTATAGACCAGAGCAAAACGGTTGTGCAGAGCGAGATAATTGTACTATCGTTGAAATTGCTAGATCCATTATGCATACTAATGAAGATCTAGCACAATTTTTTTGGGCTGAAATAATAAATACATCGGCGTACATTTTTAATAGGACTAGTAATTCTAATATCGTAGGAAAATCTCCATTTGAACTGTGGTATGAGAAAAAGCCTTCTTTAAAACACATGAGAATTATTGGAACATCCTGGTATGCCCATGTAAGTGAAAGTCAAAGGCATACTTATAGGATATGACCAAGATGATGCATATCGGATTTGGTGTGAAGAATCTGAGAAACTAGTCAGATCGAGAGATGTGATATTTGACGAAAAACTTCCATCAGGTTGCCATTGTTGGAACTTCTCAGCAAAACAATTGTAAGATTGTCAGAAGCAGGGAAGGTACTGCAGAACAAGAAACTAAAGCAAACAATGGACAAGACCGCGAAGATGATAGTTCTGATATCTTAGTAGATTCACCAGATAATGACATTTCAGAAAAAGTCCCAAATGTATCGAGTAGATAACTGAGAGATAGAAATTAGATACAGAAGAAGACTTCGCTATGATGGTTGCTGCAGAAATTATAGAAATAAATGAGCCAATTACGTACCGAGAAGCTATGGCAAGTGATAGAGCAAATGACTGGAAAATGGCTATGAGAAGAGAAATGGAGTCTTTAGAGGAGAACTGTGTTTGGACTTTAGGAAAGCTACCCAATAGTAAGAAGGCTATAGCAAATTAATGGGTGTACAAGTTAAAATACAATCCAGATGGCTCTATAGATAAATTCAAAGTCAGACTAGTCGCAAAAGGTTATTTTCCAGAAGAAATATCAAGATTATGATAAAACATTTAGCCCAGTTGCAAGATTTGCTACAATACGATCTGTTTTGAGTATATCTGCCAGTGAAAATTTAAGTCTAAGCCAGTTTGATGTATGTACAGCATTTCTATATGGTGAGCTTCAAGAAGAACGATACCTACATGAAACAGCCAGAGGGTTTCATACATATCTTGACAAAATAAATGGTAACTGGTTGGGTCTTAAAGTGACAAAAATGACACTTGAGCTTTAACACAGGTATGCCTTAAAAAAAAAATCGATGACAACCTCGAAGAAAAGAATAAAAAATCTCGAAACCTTGGAAAATATTCCAAATCTCTTGAATGTGCCACTAAATTTATTCCTATTAATTCGAAAAATGCTTCGCATCCCATCAAAAGCATCTATACCCATTGTGAAAGTTTTAACTCTGATACAAGAAAGAGCAGATAAAAAGGACTAGTAAAGTTAATTTGGAGCTATTAAACTAGCACAAATGTCACAACAGATAACTATCTGGAAATGTATCGCTTTACAAGTGACCGTCACCACAGGAGTGATGGGAATGGACAAAATACACGAGCAAACCAACATAATATAACATAATATAACTTATATATTATATATTCTAAATTTACATTAAATATAATTATTGTCTGTTTTAGCAACCAGTGAAAAATGCTAAACTACGATTACTTTTCTAAATAATGTAATTGTATGCATATTTTATTGAAAGCTGCCTCATATATGGCGCGGTGTAGATTGTACAGGACCATCAAGGGTCCTTCTGGGCGTCTAAAATAACAAATGACCGGCTCGTTGGTATTTGACGATAATAATGCCGCCAACCGCTCTGTTTCGAAATTAAATATTATTATGGCTATAACGATAAACCACTTTTGAAACCTGCAACTTTGCAAGACATGAATGAGTTTTGTTCTTTCTGCTTATAAAATGTACAAAGTTGACAAAATTCTCACTCCTGAAGAATACTTAGAAAACTTCAACTTGAAAAGTTATTCTTGCAAGTTAACCGACCCATAAAATTGCAACTTTTAAAGTAATTTCTCACATGGCTAGCTCCTAATTTTTAGTCAAAACAGGTATTTTCCAATTATTAACCGACCGCTTTACCTCTCGGATAACAAGTCGGTGTTTATATACAAAAGTACCCCCATTTCAAAAAGTCTCTCCTAATCCATGGGGTTTTCACAATAATATTGTCTTGGCACACCTGAGCGCATCTTCTAAATAAGAATTAAATTAAGTGTTAAATAAACAAGTTGTTCAGAGAATCGAAAAATCGAAAAGGCAGAAAAACCAATATAGTTAATGCAGATTAACATGAACTTTGGGTCCTAAGCTTTTGCAAAATATTTAAGCTCGGAGACCTTTCTTGTGTATCTGTGTTGGGGGATTTGTGGATGAGATTACATGGTTTTCGTTGACTTTTCAGGTGGTTATTATTTAGGAATTTTGGAAAATTGTTTAATATTGACATATAAATAAACTTACCATTAATAAAAACTTATTCTTGGGAGTTTTTCAATATAGGTAGGTACACATTTTGATAATGGGTAGATACATATTTAAATAGGATATTGGACATTTATACAATTTTTCTGAGAAACTGAATAATGGTTTTACAGACTTTGGATTTACCACTTCCCACGAATAAACTAAATATACCTAATTACTGGAAAATATTTCAGAAACATTTCGAGAGAAAACGAGTTTCATGCATGAGAAATGAAAAACTCGCCATAAAAATAATTGATAAAGGAAAAATTTCAAATATATGCGGATAGTACCTAAGTAATATCAAGAAGATAAGTTCTTGGTCATACAGACATAGAAATCAACGCTTTTCCAATTTTCTTATATACCGCTACTATACTTTTCCGTTGAAGCGTATTTTTTTAAAAATATTCAGCCATCAGTGATCAGTCCCAGTCCCTATCTACGAATCTGCGTCATCATCAATTATTTGACCATTGTCGAAACCGAAACAGCAGCGGCGCTTTGTCTTTCGTTTGGCGACGAAGAAACCTTTTCCTTTTTTTTTTTTTGAAAAGCAAAAAAGTAGTCGATAATCAGTCTGGTTGTCGCATAAATATAGCGCGATAAGTATCAGTTTCAAGCCAACTTATCTTTTTACATGCACATTTTCAATTGCTACCACAAAAACACGATATTTATGGATCTACCATACGAACAACTGGTTTGTTGTTGGGCTGTTGGTATACCTATCGGTTGTTTGATTTAATTTTTGGTTTCCCTTTTTGAATATGATTTGAATATAATTTTTGAATTCACCCAGTCGTGAATTTTAAAAGATAATAAGATGTTTATATGTATTTTACTTTTGGTTTCTTTAGTTTTAATATAGACCAAGGTCCCCATAGGACCCCCAGACGTTACCTACTTATTTTCTAAAGGGTCGGCCATAACTTCTGCCAGACGCTTTAAATTTCCATCTAAGTTGAATTTTTGGAGGTTTTTTTTTTCACGACTTTAATTTACTGAGGCTTGTATGATTATATCATTGAAATAATATTTGACATTGACCAAAAATAAAAATCATAACATAAATCATTATTTTCATTTGACTCTGCCTGGATTTATAAATTTTAAATCTAAATTGTCAATGATGGATGTATCAATTTCCTCCAAATAAAGTCGTCCAAAAAGTTCAACACTTATTTTTATTTGTTATCTTGTAACTATAAACAGTTATGAGACCCTTACCTGATTTCACAGAACAATGTATGTGAGTCTTGCTTTCGTAAAAGACCCAATCAAATCCAGCTTCTACAGCCAGTCTGGCCAGCATTCCCAATTTGGATTTTTCTTTATCTGACGTGGTGATGTCTACTGCGCGTCCTTCGTAATGAAGAGAATCTGGAGCATGTTCTTCTTCATCTTCCCAACCTTCTATCACTAACAATTTGGTTCCTGGCCATTGGTTCATGACTGAGATAGCTAGGGTGTTCAGTTTTTCTTTGCAACGCTGAAAAAAAAGATTAATGAATTAAACCTCAATATCCTATTTAAAATCAATATAATTTTGTGAAATAATTTTTCATACTTTTATAAATAATTGTTGGGCGGTAATTTATCATTCAATAATTTTATTGGCATTGTGATGCTACATTAATTTCAATCATATAGAGGTAGGTAGTCTCTAGATAGGTAACTAATTTTTAATAAACTCTTCACAATTCGCCTGCGGTAATTAAAAAAACCATTTTACAAAAAGGCGTTAAATTAGTTACCAGAATTTATGAGAAACCGATAAGAATGCATCATTGTTTTCAGTTTTAGTTTTCAAAATTCAATCAACGAAACAATAAGGATCTTCAGAAAAAAAATTTAATGCCAATAATAAGGACCATAAAATTTTATTGGATATGCAAGAAAAAATGTGAGCAAAAAAATCACTTATACAGAGACCAAGTCGTTAAATGGATTTTACTGCATTTTAAATAGATTTTAAGAGGTCTTTTGAGGATGTCGTGGATGTTATCAAGTTATTAAACAATCGTAAAATGAATTTCCAATAGGCCCGTTGAAATGAAAGGTTAAGGTGTGGATCACGAACATGATGTGACGTTCGGAAGAAAAAAGACCATAGTTATGATGGTTCATGGTCATATTTATGCTATCCAGTTTTTCAAACTTAAATCGTCAAATAGGGTTTTGGTGGAAATGGCAAAGAATACTCCTAAATCCCCATTTTCAGAGAGATCAACTTTTTTTGTAGAAAAAGAAATCCATATATATCTTTTATCAATTTTATTAAAAAAATGTTTCGTCAAAACTCGAAAAAAATATCACAATTCCCGTTTTTTTCTTGTATAGGTAGTTTTTAGGTTCTTCAAAAAACGGACATTTTTGATACTTGAGCAGACCTGGATAAGTGAATGACTGACCACCACGAGAAAATAATGCGCAAGGATGATTTCAGATCCAAAAAGTTTGTAGCCTGAGCGAAGCGTGTGCAGTTTGGTGAGTGATAAAATCACACTTTAGTCCTCTGGTTACCTATTGCGTTAGTTTTTATGCAAAAACGATGTTTATTGCGTGGGGTTTTTGAGGCAGGATTTTACTGATAAAACAATCAGTAGACGAATTTTAAAAATGCCCGTTCAAAAATCGAAGGTTGATTTGTAGATCAGAAGAAAAAAAAAAGTGATAGTTGAATGTTTTACATCAGAAACGTTTTCTAGTAGGAAAAAGGAAACATACACACATCACCACAAGGGCTAGAACTATCGAAATCAGTCTATCCCTGTATATACCTAGTACAATGGGTTCCCACAGTTCACATTCTGATTGAATATTAATGGTACCGGTTTCAGGGAAAAAAAGAAGACCAATGAGTTATGATACGTGTTCGGTGATGAAGTCTTGACAAAACAGTTGAAAAATGGCCGATTTTACGGAGCAGCCAATGTCGATTCAGTCGGAATACATCCATTTGATTTGTTTGACGGGTTTTCATCTGGTCATGCACATTCATGGTATAAATCACTATTTCTTTATTGGCACGGAGACCGTGACTCCGGTTTGCTGTTTTTATAGGAATTGAAAGAATCTTGTCCGCGGGAAGAATGTGCGATCTAAACTGACATGGGACAGATACAATCTTTGAAAAATATAGAATTTTTCCTACGTGTAGCTATGTGTGTGAATGTTTTATTTATTTCATTTATCTAATGGTAATAGATCTGAAACCATGCTTGCCAAAAAATATCTGTATATTACTCGTTCAAAAAATATTCTTAAGATATTTTTGAATATCTAACTTACTATGGCACCAGCCTGTTGAACCATTTGCTGTCCTTCATCTATGGGTAAGTCATCCAGAAAGTATAACTATAAGCGGAGAGCATTATGATTCAAGGGAGGAAAATATGTATATAGTGTTTTCGCCGACACCTCGATGGGCCACTAATCGATATATGAAAAACCGCATATATGTATAATACCTACAAGGGAAATATTTTGTTCCACGAAAAAAATATTTCTCCCCGGAAGGAAAAGAACTGACCTGATAAGCAATCAACTAACAAGAAGGTGGTGTGAGTTAGTGTTGGATAGGGCAAATTTCAAATCTGAAAACGGATGTGAGTATAAATTTGTGGAGCTTGACAAGTTATTTTTAACATTACAACTGGAATGTTTGCTCGCTCCTAGACACCTTAAAACAGTAACAGAGCACAACGAAGAACCGCGATTGTAGCATGTGAGCTGAAAAGATGCACCATCTATGGATATCGCTGTCTAAAGTAAAATAAGACACGCCAGCGAGGTCCAACTCACAAAACATGGAGGTTTCTTCTCTTCCTTCTGGAAAGGGAAGAATAAAAATAAATCTCAATTCCGCGGGGTAGGTTTAGCCATGTGTATGTGTGTGTTGGAGGTATCAGCAACGCGACCAAGGTTGACCTATTGTACCCCTCCTTCTGCTGCTAAGTTCGGGTTTCCCGCTCAAAGCAGCCCCTCCAGTCCTAGGTTCCTTAGGAATTTTAGGATGTCTAGCGGTTCCAGGGCTGGAATGTTTTCCAACTGTATAAAGGCACTTCCCAGGTTCTTCATCCTTGAGCGACTAACGGCATCGCAATTCAGTAGAAGATGGTGAGGTGTCTCTTCGCCGTCTTTACGGAACTCAATCTTCTGTAGGTGTTTCTTGAGTCTGCAATGTCCTGAGAGAAACCCGGTTAGAGTCTCGAGATTTTCTTGCTAAGGTTGACCAGCAGTTCTGATCCTTTTTGGTTGAAGTTGCCCAATAAATCTTTGGCCTGTCGTAGTCCTGGCTGTCCTAGCCATTGTTTGTTCCTTATAGCCGGTTCTCTTCTTTTTTGAGGATTTCTTGGAGGTGCGCCAACGTCGCAAAATGGTTCTGGCCCAGTGAAGGGAGTAGACGCTCCCGTTCTTGCGAGTCTGTCTGCGCATTCGTTGCCCTCCTTCTGTAGACATTCCCATATTGTCTTAGAATTGATGACCGGGCATCTCAATGCTTTGATAGCTGTTTGGCTGTCAGACATTATTTCATTATTACAATCTCTCGTTTCCGATAACTGCTGTTCAGGTTGAACTGCACGCATCTTCCGATCGCATGAAGTTCCGCTTGAAATAGGCTTGGTGATTTACTCATTTGCTCCGAGTATTTGGTCCGTGGCACGAATACTCTGGCTCCAGTTCCTTCAGCAGTTTTGGAACCGTCTGTGTACTGTGTACCATTTGATGGTGTCTGCTTTAAGGGATTGGATAGATTCCATTTTCCATCTGTTTTTTGTGCTCAGTTCCAGGGAAAAGTTTTTCTCGAAACTGAATTATCAACAATCACGTCTTTTGGTAGATCCATTAAGTGCGCACAGTTTGGGAGAAATAAAGTTCTTCCAACGTGCGTTTTCCTTTGTAGAGCCATCTTCTCCAGTCTGAGACATGAACCACTGGCATTCCGCTTCACTATTATGTTGAGTGGTGTGAGGTCTAGAATGATTTCTAGTGTCGCGGTTTGGGCATGATCTCATTGCTCCTGTTATACAGAGACACGCGAGTCTTTGCACTTTTCCTAGGGTTTTCCTAGCTGTTATTAATTGGGTTCGGCTATAGGAGGCTACCGCTCCGTACATGATGAAAGGTCTCACTATCATGGTAAGCATCCATCTTAGGATTGATGGGTTACAACCGCATGTTTTACCCGCAATGTTTTTGCAGGCCATGACTGCCGAGATTGCTTTGTTTTTTGAGTTGTCTCATGTCGGTTCCACAGAGGTTTAGAATCTAGGGTTATTCCTAGGAATTTAACTTCTTTTTTCCAATCAAGTCTGCTTCCATGTTTCTGAAGTTTGGAAGTTTCGTTCTTTTTGTAAATATTACCAGTGTGGTTTTTGCTGATTCAGCCCCACTGTCTGACAACATTCCTTGGTGGTTCGAAGTGCTTTTTCTATAAGGTCGCTTCGTATTTGCCTCTGGTCATGATCCAAATCAGGTAAAGCCCTGATCGGTCAATAAATTTAGGAGGTCGTCAACCACTAGACTCCACATCAAAGGTGAGAGTGCCCCTCCCTGCGGACAGCCTCTAGTGGTGGTGACCTGTATGGTTTATTCAGCCACGTCAGTTTTTGCAGTTCTGGTAGCTAGCGTTTCGGAGATCCAGGTGGATGTGGTTTTGTCCACTCCTTTTTTGACGAGCGCATTCTTTATTGACTCATGAGAGGTGTTATCAAATGCCCCCTCTATGTCCAAGAAGGCGCAGACGGCTACGTCTTTATTATGCAAGGGGTTTGGATGCTGTCGGTGAGTTCAAGTGAAGCGGTTTCTGTTGATCTGCCCACTCTGTAAGCATGCTGCCTAGGATGAAGTGACGTCTTTTCTAAAACACTTGGTCTGATGTAGTTATTTACAACTTTCTCAGCTGTTTTGAGCAAAAACGACGTGCGACATGTAAGGTTCTGAACGACTTCCGAAGAGTGGCGTCTCTCTCTCCTGCCTTTTGGAAGAAAGTTACTTTAGCTCTTCTCCATTGACTGGGTATGTATCCGGTCGTTGAGCTGTATCTGATGAGTTCGATTAGATGTGATATGATTTCATTTTGCCCTTTTTGCAGCAGGACTGGAAAGATGCCGTCAACTCCAGGCGACTTGAACGGTTGGAGCGAGTCGATCGCTCAAGTAAGCCGCTGAGGAGTGCAAAGGTTCTTGGCAACCTCCCAGTTTTTATGCCCTGGTTTTCCTGGGCTGCCCTTTGTTTTCTTCAGTATCATTGGGTGTGCTTCATTTTTTGTGTAACTACCGTCTGGTTTCTTAAGTGTCAATGGTCCCTGCACCCTGCCTGGCTGCTGATCGGCTTAGCCATAATGAATCAACTTGTCGATCATCTTGAGGAATGAAAAGCTTCTTTCTGGGATAAGTGAAACACTCATACCTATTATTTTGACACGCCGTCTCAAGTTCGTTAACAATCAGAGCATATGCCACGACTATAGATTTCGACATGACA